GTTTAATCCTTCTCTCCACCTTGACCTGAGGATCTCGGTCACGCACTTGACCCCGACCAACGACCCTTGAAGATAGGGTGGCGCTGGTCCCTATAGGTGGGGCCCCGTTGGTTGACCCACGTCCCCGCCCGACAGCGAGGGCTTGCCTCTGCCTCAGGAACCCCAGATCAATGCGGGCGTGTTAGACATAGCTATCTCGAGGGCGTCCTCGACGTCTAGAGATTGCAGGATTTGGAAGTCAGGCCACGAATCTCTCCCCGAAGTCCCCACCTCGGCGTGCGAAGGTACCAAATCCTCTCTAACCCCGAGCTCCTCAACTTTACCCTCTACTTCTGCCTCTGTAGCCCGGTCAGGGTCTTCCTCCAAGTTCTCCTCGTCCTCTTGCCTCACCGCCTGATCGAAGAGTTCAGACCACGCGAAGGCTCAAAAGGCTGGGGAAGCTGTGAGAACTTTTTATGTCAGGGAGTGTAATTCAGGAGGATGTGGCCAGCCCAGTCGAACCCGTCGTCACCAGTAAATCTCCAAACAGTGACTAGGTCGGCAAAGTTCACCATGGACAGAGGTGGAGGAGCTGTTTTCCAAGGGGAGACGTCTGCACACAAACAAAAAATAGGGGAGGGAGTTATGAACACTTCTAAAAAATCTCAAGAACAAAATAATAGACCCGAAGAAACCGATGTACTTGTCGTTCTGGATGGGTCCCTGGCTTTGAGGTAGAAGTTTTGTTGAGGCATGACTCTCAAAAGGGAGTAGCAAAAGAGGATATCGTTCAACCCAACATTTTACCCCGAGACGCTTGTTGAGCTCTAAAACTCTCCATAATTATTCTGAAGACATTAAGCAACACTGCCCGAGAAGAGGTAGAAATGAAAGAGGAACTGGAGGAGTAGAGGGGGCAGAGGGAACCTAATTCCACCCTCTATGATGGCTTTGGTATAAAATGACATCTCATCCTTGGCCCCAAGGGTACGAAAATGCAAAACCGGATCATAATCCTCTATGTCTACATATGGGAGGATGTTGTACTTGACCCTAAACCTATTAATTTGCTCGCCCCCTTTTACTTTATACTTCTCTGGCCTCGAAGAACTGGCCTGAGGATTCTCGGGGGCAGGGCGACGATGGGGCATCTCCAAAAAAGTGATAAAAAGTGAAGGAGGGTGTTTTTTCACGAAGATCCCCAAGGAGGATTTTCGAGGATTGGTCGCTGAGTGGCAACCAGAAATACCTCCAGTTATCGAAAAATCAAAAGGAACATAAAAACGAGAAGAAGAGAAGAGACAAAGGGTGAAGAAAAGGAAGATACAAGGACTCACCAGAACGTAAAAGGAAGTTTTTTCTTAAAAACTTGAAGCGACTCCTTCCTCCAGAATGTTCAGTAGCAATCTGCTGGCCTTGAGACTCCGATGAAAGATTGGACAGTAGACAGCGAAAGGAAAGGGATCTCCGACGAGGTTTCAGGCGAGGGCTCTCTGAAGAAATCCGAAATGGCACAGTAAGAAAGGGAGAGATGAAGCCCATTTATATCGTACTCATCCCCATCATTTGGGCACGAAGTACAAAGAGACGCATTTAATGCGCACGACCTCCGAAGTAGGGGAAAGCGGCTGAAGGCAATGATGAAGTAGTTGGGGTAATTGCAGAACCCTTCGTCTCCTTACGACGCGTGTCCTCGGTGTCAGGAGATCGAATGCAGGGGGCAATTGATGGGACATTTTCAAATACTCCAAGATGAAGACATGTGTCATCGACATTAGTAAATTCTTGTTATTGTAATCACGACACGTACCTGTCAGATCACAAGTCCCTCTCCCCCCGAGGTACTGTTCATAAGGATCAATGACACCCAGTACGTTACGTATCGACACGTATCCCTCGGTTGGGTATGGGTACATCGGTCCCTACATGTACCACTCCCCTCGGTACCAAGATATACCCGTCCAGGATGGCGTTCTCTGCTCTTGCAAAGGCTATTGATGTACAGGTCACTAGCCTAGGCTAGGCTAGGTTAATCATCATGACCTCGTCTTACACAATTGGTGTCAGAAGACACAACCAATGGGGAATGGGCGCGTGGTATATTGTGTTACATCAGAGACAAAAGGACTGGATGCCCTCGCTGACACACGATTTGGGAAATCAAGCATTTAATTACATCATTCCCTTGATGAGACAGCATTTAATGCGGTTAGGCTCGGAAGTGAAAGGTAATAAATGTCCTTAGACTGGACATTTATCACATCCTTGCCAAGAGGAGCTCATTAAACATTCGACAGGCCGATGACACGGCATTGGTTGCTCGGGATCCCGAGCAGTTAAAAGAGAAGACATTCCTCATAGGAATCAGTGCTCACGTTGCCCGTATCTAATGATCATCTACTGACCACACTGACAGCAATCATGAGTTTTTGAGATATAAATACTCCTCACAAAAGGCAAGACGGTATACAACGAAAAACCTTTTCTAAAACCTATACTCAGTGTTTTCTTCTTCCCCTCTCTCAAAAACTGACTTGATCGTCGGGGAGGATACGCCGAAAAACACTCCGGCGCCCTTCTAACTTGTCTTTCTCTGTTCCAGGAACCTCCCTCAGCCTTACTGGACCGCTCCCTTGATCCACGAAAGTCACCCATTACCGTTCCAGGCCACCAACGGATCTCAGCCTGTTCCAAATAACAAGGTCGACCAATTGATTGACTCACTCGAGTTCACCAAAGGAGAGATCTGTTCTCGTACTTATATTGTACAAGATCCTGCACGCACAATATGTATTCTAGAAACTGTCTCTTAAGAGACAAATTACAACTACAAGTTCAGAGGACATAGCACCCAAAGTCACAAGAAGGGAGGACAGCTTGCTGGAGTTCTCACCGTGGAATAAAAACACTCAATTAGAAATAAATCCAGAACCATAGTTTTTCACAGAACCAGAGGAAGCAGTGGAAGGGAAGAATACCCACACCACGAAAACCCACAGAGTGATAGGGAAATTCAAGGGCAAGAAGTTAGTCAAGCAAACAAATGCAAAGGAAATAGAACAAGTGCATGAATTAAGTGTGAAATAGACTAAAGAGATCTCTATGGCTGAGGAGGGGGGCCATACCATGCCCCAACCCCCTATGAGGCTAATGGCTTGGAATTGTCAAGGGATGGGGTCACCCTTGACAGTTCCAGCTTTAAAGGACCTCTGTGTCCTGCACAAAGCCTAGGTTCTATGTCTCAATGAAAGAAAGTAAAGAGACAGAATGGGAAGAATAAGACAAGAATTAAGGTTTGATAACAAAATTACAGTGGAGCCAATATTACTTCCAGGAGGCCTGGGTATAATGTGGAACAAGGATGCAAATTGAGCTTTGAGGATTGAAACTAGAACCATATCAATGTGGATTTCAAAGCTCGGGGCATCGAGGAATCATGGCATATGAGTTTTGTGTATGGCCACCCTGAGTACGAAGCAAGATGCAAACATTGGGTCAAACTGAGTGGGTATAGCATAAGTTTTGTACTACAAGGGTTGTGCATTAGTGATTTCAATGATATAATTTCATCAAATGAGAAGGGACGGATGAGAAAAAGAGCAGTTTGGAAAATACAAAACTTCAGATAATTTATAGATGACAGTAATTTGATTGAGCTAAAGAGCAAAGGGTGCAGGTTCACCTGGGACAACCACAGGCAGGGAACAACAAATATCAGAGAAAAGTTGGATCGAGCAACGATTTCTCCAAGCTGGAGAATGACTTATCCAAATGCAGAATTGATAGGCCCCTGGCATATGCTTAGAGCACTCCCCATTAATACTGAAAAAAATGCCAAACCAGGAGAAAAAGGGAGGGTATTTAAAGTTTGAAGCCTCATGGGTGGATGAGGTGAAGTGTGTTGAAATTATATAGTAGAGCTGGAGAACATCGGGGGGCAGAGGGTGTGTTCTAGAATGTACCAGCTAAAACAGAAAAATTAAGAGCTGTGGAATGGACCTATTTAGCTGGAGATCATCTCATTGTGGAAATAACAAGATGGGGATTGAATTCTTAAAGGCTAACCTGCAAGATATACAAAATGACCTCTGTCCAAGCATTCCTCAAGAAGAGGTAAGGAAAATCAAAGCAGGGGTAGAAGATTTATGGCCCAAAGAGGAGTAGTACTGGGGCCAAAGATCCAGATTAAAGTGGCTTAAATGTGGAGATAGAAACACACGATTTTTCCATACCACAACAATCCAAAGGAAGCAAAGGAATAGGAAATAATGCTGAAGAATTCTGAGGAAGAATGGATCACTGGTAGAGTACAGATAAACCAATTAATACAAGATCATTTCCAAAAAATATACATGACAGAGTGAAATAAAAACTATGATCAAGTAATATAGATTATTCCTACGGTTGTCTCAGAGAAAATGGACAACCATCTCATAAAAGCCCCCACAATTGAGGAAGTCAAGACAACAATCTTCAGTTTGGGACAAATTAAAGCCCTAGGACTAGATGGCTACTGGACAGTAATCCAAGATGACTTGTTTAATGTAGTTCAATCTTTCTTTCATTATGGTTTTTTTCTAAAGAACTCAATGAAACAAACATAACATTGGGCCCAAAGGTGCCCCATCCAAAGAATGTACGGGAATTCAGGCCAATAGGCTGCTACAATTTTGCTTACAAAGTAATCTCCAAAAATATTGGCTACTAGACTGAAACTCATAATAGATCAACTAGTGTCTCATAATCAAGGAGCCTTCACTAGTTGGAGACAGATTCAGCACAACATCATAACAGCACAAAAGGTGATGCACTCAATGAGTTAAAGGAAGAAAACCAAAAAGTATCAAATGGCCATCAAATTGGACATGGCTAAGGCATATGAGAGAATTGAATGGGACTTCTTGAAGGACCTCATTATCAAAAATGGCTTTGCTGGGAAGTGGGTTTTGCTGATTATGCAATGCATTTCCACTATGTGATACAACATGCTAGTGAATGTAGACAAAGCTTTTCAAATTATTCCATCACGAGGACTCAGGGAAGGGGACCCTATCTCCTCATACCTATTCATAATTGTAACTTAGTGCCTGAATGCAATGTTCAATCAAGCAATGGAATGTGGATCTCTTAAGGGACTCAAGCTGAGCAAGTCTGAACCTACACTCTCACACTTACTATTTGCTAATGATTCTATTTTCTTCTCTGCAGCAACTAGAGCAGATTGTCAAATCCTAATGGACATCCTCAATAGATACTACTTTACTATTGTCCAAATGATCAATTTGAACAAGTCTGCAATTACTTTTAATCATCAACAAGAGCTTGCTCAGTACCTCAGAATCCCAAAGGCACACAAAGCAAGGAAGTATCTGGGACTACCTGTAGAGTGGGGAGGATCTAAGAAATAAACACTAGCCTGGATCAAGGAAATGACTCTCTCCAAAATAGTATGAATGAAGGAGAGATTCTTGTACCATGCTGGGAAGGAAACACTAATCAAGGTGATAATACGAGCTATACCAGCATATGCCATGTCAATATTCAAAATTTCTAAGTCCTTTTGTCAAGATTTCACTTCCAGTATAAAGAGGTTCTGGTGGAAGAACACATCAGGGGAAAGGGACATTTATTAGAAAAGTTGGAACCAACTACTAGAAGCAAGAAAGATGGGAGTCTAAGCTTTAGAGACCTAGAAAACTTCAACAAAGCCTTGTTAGCAAAACAATTTTGGAGATTTTTGAAGCTTCAAGAATAACTTTGGGTCAAAGTTTTGCAGGAAAAATACTGTTAAGGACAATCTGTATGGGAGGTGAAAGTTAAACCACTAAACTCTTGAATTTGGAAAAGTCTTTGGAGGGCAGAGATGTGTTGGCTAAAGGCTAGATTTAAAAGATTAGAGAATGGAGATGGCAACCAGATTAGATGTTGGGAGGATCCTTGGGTTCCGGGGAGCCAACAAATACCCAATATTGGGCAAAACAATATCTCAAGAGTGCAGGAACTGATTCAACAACCCCATAGAAGATGGAATTCGGATTTCATTCACCATGTCTTTGCCCCAGAAATATCCAATGAAATTCTGTCAAATACCTCTGGATGAAACCCAATAGCAAGATGAAATAAAATAGGCCCGCACAATATCTAGTTGCTTCCTAGTGAAGAGTGGATACTATATACTCTAGTAGACTCCAATGACCACTCAATCGGGTTAGCAGCTTCCAAGTTCTAAAGAGCCTATGGAATGCAATCTAGGGATTAAAAGTGCCTTCAAAGGTTCAATCTTTCATGTGGAAACTTGCTAATGGAATCTTAGCAACCAAATTGGTTTTTTTGGAAGAGGAAACTTACACAAAATCCCATGTGCCCAAGATGTGGAGAGGAAGAAGAAATAATTGAACACCTTTTTCGATTATTCCCTCCTCTATATGGTAGGATTCCCCCCATAACATTGTCATAGATAGGTATGTAATTACAAGAATGGAAAAGTTTGGTTTGATGAAACACCTGAAGCAATTCACAAGGACAAGAATTATGGATCTACTAAGCCAACCCTGTTAGCACATTTGTACTGGCCAATTGGATGGTTCGCAACCAATGGGTATATCAAAGTCAATACCCTAACTGCAAGGGTGTAATCAACCAGACAATTACAGCCAGTACAGAACTCCAGCCAATAGAAGCTGCATCAGGTAGCCAGCCAGATTCACAACATATGGAGATTGCATTGTCCCTCAAGTGGGGTTTATAAAGATAAATTGTGATGGAGCCTACTTGACAACAACTAGAATAGGAGCTTATGCGACTATGGTATGCAATTATGAAGGTTGACTGATACATGCGACTGTTGCAAGCATTATAGCCCCTTCACCTTTAGTGTTTGTGGAAGAAACTTATCATCTGCTGATCATAGAATCCAATTCAAAAGAGCTCATTGGTTTTCTCAAGTAAGGGCTGACATCAACCATAAGGGAGATCAAATCAATCCAAATTTGGTACTATGCAAATCAACTACCTGAAATTAAATACGTATATGCAATGAGGGAATACAACTCAACAACCCACACAATGGCTAAACAAACCAGTCAAGGACCCATACCTACACACTATATAGCCAACCCTTCAGTCCAGCTGGTGGAAATCTTTCACACGGAGGCAAGAGTAACAATAGGATGAAACTAAGATTGTACACATTATTATCTACTTTAATGAATATTTATATTTTGACCAAAAAGACTCTCATATACTTTTTCCAACTATGTAGAGTGTCTTGAAATCATTTTACTTGTTGATTTTGCATAATCTAATGGTCTTTTGTGAAGTTAGATTTTCTTAGATTTGAATTGAGTTTTGAGAATTTTTTTATACCGTCAATGAAGACATAAAATACTACTTAAGTGTCTTATATTGGATTTACTTTTTCTGTTTTTTTTTTGCTGATTGTATTAACAAAAGTCTAATAAATTTCTTTTTTACCATTATATTAACTATTAGGCTTTAAACGAATTAATTATATTATTTATTGAAAAATATATATTTAAGAAACTTAATTACAATAATTTAATTAGTACTTTTGCATTTCAAAATGCAATAACATAACTTTCAAATAAATATATTTAAATATTTTTATGATCATATAATATTATTTGTATTTCTATATTAATACTAATAGGGTATCGTTTAAATTTTTTGTGCAATGTCTCAGTTTAGTTGTACCCGCCCTTATATTTATTTTCATATAATAATATAACGCTTTTCCATTCAAGATCAACGAGTTATCTACTAATTGATCGCACTGCAAATAACTAAACATTTGTGAACTACAAATCGGCTTGACCCCGATAATGTGTACATATGCAACTAAGGCAATTAATCTAAGTCTAAGTGGAACCACAAACAAAATATCTATTTTTTTTTTCATTTTATTATAAGTTAAACTATGATGTGTGATAATTCTTGTTAGAATTATACCTAATGGATACAATAGTCTAAAAATGAGTTTGACATATGTCAATAAAATTTAATAATTCTTTGTCGTATGAGTGAAATTGTGGGCGACAAAAATTCAAATATTCGCTTAATAAGGGTGGAGATAATTTCTTATTGAGAAGTTGTAATACCCCACATGCGTTTAAAAAATAAAATAAAAAAAAATAAAAGACATAGGTGTTCAGTAATTATTTCATTTGAAATGATAAAATAGTATAACTCAAGGAAAGAGTAGTAAAAGATTAGTTTCGGTATGAAAATGTACAAAATAAATCATAAAAGAACTTGAACTAATTAGGTCGATGTAGAAAAGTATGTAGGATAAGTTAGGATTAAAGTTGGAAGGATTGGAAGTGAAAAGGGGCGCTCAAATGGGCGCTGGGGCGCTGCTCCGGGTACATTGCCTACTCCGGACCAGTTGTCGTAGAATCGTCATAACTCTTGCTACAATGGTCCGATTGAGCTGAAATTTTGACACAATGCAGAAGACATCTAGATCTACAACTTTCATGTTTTGCACTTTTTCAGATTCAAAGTTTATCATGATCAAAAATAAGGAAAACAGTAAGTCCGGAAAACCCCCAAAACAGACGATGAACAGTAAAAGTCGGGATTTTTGGGTTTTAAAACACCCATTCCAAGCCCTATTTCTCCCATTCTTCATTTCCCTTCCACTCTAAATACCTTAGAGCCCTAAGAGAAGAGAAAAGTGAGAGAAAAACACCAAGGTCAAGAGAGATTCCCACCTCATAAAGATCAAAACCGAATTTCTCAAGTTTTCTCTTCTCCACCCATTTCTTTTGCTTCTATTCCTCAACCACTCACACTCAAATCTCTAGAAACCCTAGGAGGACGAAATTAAGAGGAAAAGGAAGGAGAATAGGAAGATTTTGAATCTTGGGTCTTAGATTGAAGCTACAACCAAGAGGTAGGGGATTTCTTCCTAATTTCTTACATTGAGGCTAGGGTTTATGTATATACATATGTTTTCCACTCCCATCCATATTTATTTGATATGATTTGTATGATTCTTAATTCTCCTTGTAATAAATGCTATGTTTGAATAATGGGATGGTTTGGTAACCATTAAATTTCTCTTTTTCATCTTCCAAACTTGGTTTTAAGAAAAATTGAGTTTTCTCCATATATTGCCTTGGTTCTCACTTTATAAATTTAGTGTTCGATATTGTTCAACGAAAATGATCTTTATATTGATCTTTTGCTCATTTTAATTCCATCTTGCTATGACGCTTTACTTGTGAAATTTGGGTATTTTGCGATTAATTGGTAAAATGTGAATTGATTGAGAATATGTTGGTTTACTCATTGTATGGTGGTTGGGAGGGACTTGGATTACCTACGAGATATGCCGTAGAGTGTAAATGTCAGTTGAACCCAGTGGGGGGGGAGATGGTTTCTTGCACTTGTAGTGAGTTGTCATTTGGTAATGCGACCACTATCGTACGCCTGGAGTTCGAACTAGGGTTGGTATACCATTCCTGGGGAGGGACTCGTCACTGCCATTGGGATGGTAGACGCCCCTTCCCTAAGCACTTGTGATTGTGATTATAAATGGGTGAACTAGGTATAATCGTTGGGTAGATTCATGAGAAACAATCAACATACATGGTACGGGGATGAACCAACATAAATGTGATGATTGGCTGGAATGGCTTGGCCGGTGCATTGGTATGGGACGATGCATCGGAGGGAGCCCCTCCTAATTGACTTAATGTTGGAAATGGTTTGCTATGGTTAAACTTAATTTATTTCTCTCCTTAACTACTGTATGGCTTAAACTTGAGATCTATTTAAAATGTCTCGTTTTACTTCAAATTCATATATGTTATTTATGAAATGTGACCGACCCGTTTTGTATTTTATAAACCTTGTTGGAGTTGGGAAGATTTTGCTACAGAGCCTAGTGCTCATCCCCTACTGTTAACATTTTTCAGACTATATCCTTGAGGAGGAGCCAGGAGTCGAGGAGCCCGTTCTTTGGGAGACTCCGATCGACGGGAGCGTAGATCCCGAGGTGGACGCCTAGAGCGGCCCTTCTATTTTGTTCTAGACTAGGCTATGTTTTTTTTGAAAGATTGTAAAGTCTAGTTATCTTTTGAAATTCCGCTGCTTATCATAGTTTAATTCTTTGGGAATGTACATGCCATTGTGGGCATATTTTTTTGGGTTAACATGTAAATTTGATGGATTGATTATATAGTAGTTAATTGGACCCGGTGTGGTCATTATAGTAGAATTGCACAGGTTGGATTTTGTGGTAGAGCTCCCCGTACAAAGGAGACTCTGCCCGAATTTTGTTAAAATATCAATGGTTGATGGATAAAAATTTCTTATTTATGGATTTATTTAGTGCTCTCATGATTGTGAAAGGTTTTAGAATGTAATGCCGTCCGAGGGGGTA